ACAACATTGCGTGGTCATCGGGGGCAGTTCCTAGGGAGTGGCAGACCGGGGTGGTGGTCCCCATCTTTAAGAAGGGTGACCTGAGGGTGTGTTCCAACTATAGGGGGATCACACTCCTCAGCCTCCCTGGAAAGGTCTACGCCAAGGTACTGGAGAGGAGGGTCCGATCGATAGTTGAATCTCAGATAGAGGAGGAGCAATGTGGTTTTCGTCCTGGCCGTGGAACTGTGGACCAGCTCTATACCCTTGCAAGGGTGATGGAGGGGGCATGGGAGTTTGCCCAACCAATCCACATGTGTTTTGTGGATTTGGAGAAGGCTTATGACCGTGTCCCCAGGGGCACCCTGTGGGGGACACTCCAGGAGTATGGGGTGGGTGGCTTTCTGTTAAGGGCCATTCAGTCCCTTTACCAGAGGAGCGTGAGTTTGGTCCGCATAGCCGGTAGTAAGTCGGACCTGTTCCCAGTGAGGGTTGGACTCCGCCAGGGCTGCCCTTTGTCACCGGTTCTGTTCATCACTTTTATGGACAGAATTTCTAGACGCAGCCGTGGTGTGGAGTGTGTCGAGTTTGGTGGCAGGAGAATCTCGTCTCTGCTTTTTGCGGATGATGTGGTCCTCCTAGCTTCATCCAGCTCTGACCTTCAGCTCTTGCTGGGTAGGTTCGCGGCCGAATGTGAAGCGGCTGGGATGAGGATCAGCACCTCCAAATCTGAGACCATGGTTCTCGACCGGAAAAGGGTGGCTTGCCACCTCCGGGTCGGGGGAGAGGTCCTACCTCAAGTGGAGGAGTTTAAGTATCTCGGGGTCTTGTTCACGAGTGAGGGTAGGAGGGATCGGGAGATCGACAGGCGGATTGGTTCGGCGTCTGCAGTGATGCGGACGCTGAGCCGATCTGTCGTGGGGAAGAGGGAGCTGAGCCAGAAAGCCAGGCTCTCGATTTACCGGTCGATCTACGTCCCAATCCTCACCTATGGTCATGAGCTTTGGGTAATGACCGAAAGAACGAGATCGCGGATACAAGCGGCCGAAATGAGTTTCCTCCGTAGGGTGGCCGGGCTCAGCCTTAGAGATAGGGTGAGGAGCTCGGACATTCGGGAGGGACTCGGAGTAGAACCGCTGCTCCTCCGGATCGAAAGGAGCCAGTTGAGGTGGTTTGGGCATCTGGTCAGGATGCCTCCTGGACGCCTCCCCGGGGAGGTGTTTCGGGCATGTCCTGCCGGCAGAAGGCCCCCGGGTCGACCCAGGACACGTTGGAGAGGTTACATCTCCAATCTGGTCCAGGAACGCCTTGGGGTCCTGCCGGAGGAGCTGGTGGACAAGGCCGGGGAGAGGACGGCCTGGAGCTCCCTAGTTGGGATGCTGCCCCCGCGACCCGGACCCGGATAAGCGGAGGAAGACGAGACGAGACGAGAGACAATGAAAAAATGTTTGTTTCTCTAATGTTGGCCAACTGAAAAGAATGAACATGAAAAGAATGTGCATGTATAGCACTCAATACTTAGTCGGGGCTCCTTTTGCCTCAATAACTGCAGTAATGCGGCGTGGCATGGACTCGATCAGTCTGTGGCACTGCTCAGGTGTTATGAGAGCCCAGGTTGCTCTGATAGTCGTCTTCAGCTCCTCTGCATTGTTGGGTCTAGCGTATTGCATCCTCCGCTTCACAATACCCCATAGATTTTCTATGGGGTTAAGGTCAGGCGAGTTTGCGGGCCAATCAAGGACAGGGATACCATGGTCCTTGAACCAGGTGCTGGTGGTTTTGGCACTGTGTGCAGGTGCCAAGTCCTGTTGAAAGGTGAAGTCTGCATCCCCATAAAGTTGGTCAGCAGCAGGAAGCATGAAGTGCTCTAAAACTTCCTGGTAGACGGCTGCATTGACCCTGGACCTCAGGAAACAGAGTGGGCCAACACCGGCAGATGACATGGCACCCCACACCATCACTGACGGTGGAAACTTTACACTGGACCTCATGCAACGTGGATTCTGTGCTTCTCCGCTCTTCCTCCAGACTCTGGGTCCTTGATTTCCAAAGGAAATGCAGAACTTGCTTTCATCAGAAAACATAACTTTGGACCACTCAGCATCAGTCCAGTCCTTTTTGTCCTTGGCCCAGGCGAGACGCTTCTTGCGCTGTTTCTTGTTCAAGAGTGGCTTGACACACGGAATGCGACACCTGAATCCCATGTCTTTCATGAGTCTCCTCGTGGTGGTTCTTGAAGCGCTGACTCCAGCTGCAGTCCACTCTTTGTGGATCTCCCCCACATTCTTGAATGGGTTTGTCGTCACAATTCTCTGCAGGGTGCGGTTATCCCTAGAGCTTGTACACTTTTTTCTACCACATTTTTTCCGTCCCTTCGCCTGTCTGTTAATGTGCTTGGACACAGAGCTCTGCGAACAGCCAGCTTCTTTAGCAATCACCTTTTGTGTCTTGCCCTCCTTGTGCAAGGTGTCAATGATTGTCTTTTGGACAGCTGTTAAGTCAGAAGTCTTCCCCATGATTGTGGTGCCTTCAAAACAAGACTGAGGGACCTTTTAAAGGCCTTTGCAGGTGTTTTGAGTAAATCAGCTGATTAGAGTGGCAGCAGGTGTCTTCTATATTCAGCCTTTTCAGAATATTCTAATTTTTTGAGATACCAAATTTGGAGTTTTCATTAGTTGTCACTTATGAATATCAAATTTAAATGTAATGAACATTGGAAATACATTGGTCTGTGTGCATTGCATGAATATAATGTACAAGTTTCACGTTTTGAATGGAATTACTGAAATATTTTCAACCTTTTGATGATATTCTAATTTACTGGCCAGCACCTGTACACCCGTAACAGAAATACAAAATGACTTTATTGTTGTTCTAAAATATGTATGCCTAAAGTTAAGTTTGTATCTGAAATTAGATACGTTATCTGGTTTTATAAATAGCATTAATAATTTGTGTGGTAATAATTTCCTATGCACTTTAAACATGAATGTCGCTGTATATAGCTGAATTAAATCTTTAAATTTTAGTATTTTAGAATATATAAATAACGGATTAGTGTGGTCTCTAAATCTAACGTTGTGAACGACTCTAAGGGCTCTTTTCTGTATGATAGACAAGGGTACAATAGATGTTTTATAAGTGTTACCCCATACCTCTACACAGTAAATAAGATAGGGATAAATCAATGAATAATAAAGGACATGGAGTGATTTATAATCCAAGTACTGCCGAGCTTTATTCATAATGTAGATGCTTCTCGCAACCTTATTATATACATGTTTAATTTGTGGTTTCCAACTTAATTTATTATCAATTACTATTCCAAGGAACTTATGTTCTGTTACTTGCTCAATTTCACATCCATCTATTTGCAGCTTAACCTCAGTTTTATTAGCCATACCAAACAACATACATTTTGTTTTTGCTATATTTAATGTAAGCTTATTTTCAATAAACCACTCTTTAATGACGCACATTTCAATTTGGACCATCCTTTCTAACTCGCTAATATTATCTCCTGCACAGAAAATAGTGGTATCATCGGCAAACAAAACAAATATCAGTGTATTTGTTACATTACTCAAATCATTAATATATAATAAAAATAATTTTGGACCCAACACAGACCCCTGTGATACTCCACAAACAATGTCCAACCATGTAGATGAACATTCTCCAAATTTCACAAACTGTCTCCTCTGTTGTAGATAGCTTGTCAACCAGCACAACACTACACCCCTAATCCCATACCTCTCTACCTTTTCAAGTAACATTTTATGATTAACTGTATCAAAAGCCTTTTTTAAATCAATAAATATCCCTAGAACATGTTTCTTCTGATCAATTGACGTTGCAATTTCTTCCACAGAATGCACCAGAGCTAGTGATGTTGAACTATTCGGTCTAAATCCATACTGACAGTCTGAAATTATCTTGTATTTATCCAAAAATATTTCGAGTCGATTATTAAACAATTTTTCAAGAATCTTGGAGAATTGTGGAAGCAATGAAATTGGCCTATAGTTCGTAAATTGATGCTTATCCCCGGTTTTATATATTGGTATAACTTTTGCAACTGTCATTAATTTTAGGAATACACCTGATTGAAAAGACAAATTGCAAATATATGCAAGTGGTTTTGAAATTCCTTCTATCACCTTTTTTACCGTCATCATGTCAATGCCATGACTGTCAGTTGATGTTTTACCTTTACATGTTTTTACACTTTGTATTATTTCTTGTTCCTCTACAGCTGAAAGAAACGTGGAATGAGGATTAGGTTTGATTTGTTTTAAGAATGGTGTATGCGATGTTGAAGAGCTAGATATGTTTTCTGCCAATGACGGCCCTATATTTACAAAGAATTTATTAAAGCTATCAGCTTTAATCATGATAAGATAATCACTCTTATGGGTTTCTGAAAAGTCATACATAATTTCTGAAAGAGAAAAACTCCGGAAAGATCCTTTAAGTACCTCTATCTTCTCTTGCCTTAAATAAAAGCCCAAGTCTAAATAGTTCAAAGTTGATGCCAAAGCCATTTCAAACGACTCGTTGCCATCTTGGTTTCACTCGGTCGAAGTAAAGCCCCGCCCACCAAACTGATAGAGCTCTGTGATTGGCCAGTTACAAGACTTTCCGGGGCTGCAGAGGTTCCAATGAAGCGTGGCTAGCCTGACATGCAGAGCAAAATCGTTTAGCTTCTGCTACTAACGTTCTAGATTTCTCGGCAACTATTTGTGACAACTATTTTTTAAACCAACCAACACCAGCATTTATAACAGCGCCCTCAGGGGAGTGACATTCAGCAGCTGTGAAAACCAACCGTCTTCTCTCCTAAATGTTTAAAACAATACTTAATAACATTTAGAGTAATTAGATAAAAGTAATTATGTTTTAGGGGTTTTCTGGTTTTTATTTTTGGTTTCAGATATGGTGAGCATTTCAACTGTAGTGAGTAGACTAGTCAGAAATGCCTAAATTAATTTAGTTGTGTTGGGATTGATTGTGTTTTGCAGGCACCGTGTGTGACTTCCGCCTGAGCTACGGCAGAGTTCTCAGCAGACGCAGCAAGATCATCGCAGTCAACAGAGACAAGTCACAGCTGCTGAAAAACTCTGATATGTTCTGGAGACCCACTGTAGCAATTCAGGGTACGCTTGCAACCTTCTGTCACCACGATCAAATCATATGACATGTATGGTCACATTAGCAACACAGATGTTGAATGTGTTCAAATTCAGGGGCAGCATCCTTGTAGGGGCTCAGCCTGCCGAGTCCATGTAGGTCAGTTCCTTACTCGACCACCAACACTGGCTGAATTTGGATGGTCTAGCCTTCAGATTTAATCCTGCTCTTACCTCAGTATGTGTCCTGTTGCCTAGCAACTTTGATGGCACTAAAAAGAAGTTGAAACTAAACTTAACAGCAATGCATGAAGAAATACAGGACCCACCATTTGAACTCATTTGCAAAGATTTTTCGTATTTCTTTTTTGACAAAAAATATATTTAGAAAAACAACAATGCAAACAACAAAAGCCTAACAGCACAGCTGCTGTTGGCTTTTAATTTTTGCACCACCATACGTTAACATACTTGCATTTAAAACTGTAATCATCTCCTGCTATGTCTACCATTATTACAAGAACAAAAGTGGGGCCCGTAATGAGTCTTGGGACAGGGTGGGCCAGGAGGAATACATTGGACCCATCCTAGAAAATAAGAGTGTATTTCAGGACACATTCTGTGTATTTGGTGAATCTGGAAAGTCTTGTTGCTTTAATGAGACATAATTGGCCCTAAAATGTGGACCTGGAAGACCCTGAATTTGGACACAACTATAACTTTGAAAAATAGCGTCCTGTTTCAGTGATCATGAAAAAAGTATCGCCAAATAATAACCTGTTTGACCCTAACCTGAAGTCAAGCCTCAAATGTACTTTTTAAAACAACTTGTTAGGTGATGCCGGATCCTTTTTAGTGCGGCTTTCAAAGGGACTGAAGGGCCACCGTTGTCCAGAGGAATGGCCCCAAACCCTTAAAGCTGGAGATCTGACCAAAGAAAATGCTAACAGGTAGGGAGAGGGTGGGAATCTCTGGTCGGTATCACTGCAGCATTCTTATCAACCCACGTTGCACTGCAGGGCTAAAGCTGATGAGAAGACCGAGCAGCACTTAAATCCCTTGAAGGTGCTGCACCGTGTGGATGAGTTGATGGCTGAGGACAGCATCATCGTTGCAGACGGAGGAGATTTTGTAGGCAGTGCTGCTTACATAATGAGACCAAGAGGACCTTTGCGTTGGCTTGATCCAGGTCAAAGCAAACAACAAAACTGATTAAACCAGCCGCATCTTACGTGTGTCGGCACATAAAAATTTCAATTTTAGAGCAATAAGCTAATAGATTTGAATGAAATGTCATATTGGTGCTGGTTTCTGTTCCTGTAGGAGCCTTTGGGACTCTGGGAGTTGGAGGAGGTTTTGCTTTGGGTGCAAAACTGTGCCGTCCTGAATCTGAGGTAAAACAATAACGCTAAAATACTTTAGTTTGATTATTTAACAAAATGACACAGTCCTTATTAATTGGGAAATGCCCTTATCATAAAAACAGGCTTCTTTTCCCACTGGTGTCTATTTTTTGTGGACAATATTTAGTCTGTGTTAACAGGAATGATTTTTACTTGCATGTTAAAAAGAGACAGAAAAGTTTGAGGAGTCGGGCGATTTAACAGGACGCGTATGTGTTTTAACCCTTTGCCCATAAACTGACACTTTGCAGGTCTGGATTGTTTATGGCGACGGCTCCTTGGCATATAGTGTTGCAGAGTTCGACACTTTTACTCGGCACAAGGTAGGAAACTTATGTATCCATAATATTTGTTTGATACTTCAATGTTTTTTGAAGTTTTACAGTGTCCATGTGAGTGGATGCATGTTGGTGCTGAGTTATTGCAACCCTGTACGTGTTTAATTTAAACACTAAATAATCCGATAATCTATGTGTTATAGTTAATTTGATGTTTCAAATTGCCTAGACACCGGTGATAGCTGTGGTGGGAAATGATGCATGTTGGAGTCAGATATCCAGGGAGCAGGTTCCCATCCTGGGTAGTAACGTGGGGTGTGGCCTCTCGTTTACAGGTACGTTTCAGACAAAAATGTGTCCGATTTAGCTTCGCTAGTGGAATAAAAACTAGCTTGATTCAAGTATTTACACAAGTTTCCCCCCGCCCCCTTACTGGTTTCTTCTGTTTTTGCTTTTTTGTTACACTTAATTAATGAAAAAAGATTATAACATCAGTATAAAAAAATCTAGACTCCTACATTTAACAAATCATTTCAGTAGAACCCGTCAGACAACATGGAGACAAAAGATCTGAAAAAGCAACCTGCCATGCCTCATTTAAAATAACCCAGAACAACTTTTAAAGCAGCTTCAACAGTCCTTTCATACAGGAAAACCCTAGCCAGGCAAGCCATCCTATAGAAGTAAGTCCAGTATATAGACTGGCTACGACCCATAGACCGAACTCTGCATTATTTCATTAAGTTTAGGCATCATTATTTTTGCATGGGGCCAGGTTGGTTTGTATAGATTTGTCCCCCTTTTATTTAACAAAATAATTAGAGAACTGCATTTCTGTGTATTATTTGGGGTTACAGTTGTGGTCAGAAGTTTACATACACTTGTAAAAAATATAATTTAATGGCTCTACTGAGTGTCCGGTTATTTCTAAAACTCAGATTTTTCTCTGATAGAGTGATTGGAACAGATACTTCTTTGTCACAAAAAACATTCATGAAGTACCTCGGTCTGATGCTGGCATTTGCTGATCTGAAACAAAAACACAAGAAATCTGCAAAAAAGGAAAATCCTTTTTAACAGCACTACGTCTGCTGACTGGTAAATTCTTTGGTTTTTGCAGATTATCACATAGTGGCTGACGGTTACGGTGGTAAGGGCTACCTTGTAGGACGGGAACACGGAGATCAGCTAAGTGACATCATTCGAAAAGCTCAGAAGGTGACAAAGGAGGGAAAGGCTGCGCTACTAAATGTTCTGATTGGGAAGACCAACTTCAGAGAGGGCTCCATCTCCGTATAGAGCTGCTGTGTATTTGAAGTAGAATGCATCATTTTCTTTTGATTTAGTCTCTTTTACAGATTAGTTCTACGAAGGACTTCATTCGGATCGGTCTCCTGCTAATTGTTTGAGACATTAAAGCCTTATTTAGCTTTGAGTTAACAATTTTCAATTTTCATCAGGCTACAAAACCTAAAATAAAATCCAAACCACCCTCATGCAACTGTCGCTAATATCACACCACTTCAGACTCATCTGTTTTTGTGCATCCTGCTACTTTCAGGTGCTTGTCGTAACTCTGCAAAAGAATAAATGCTGCGTTAAAAAGGGAAAAGTTGACTTTTAGGACATGCTTATAGTGCTGAGGAAGTTTCCTTCCTATTGCAAGCTTTGCAAAGAAACCTGAGATCACTCATGAAGTAGAGATAACGTTAGGCTTTTCCACTCTTGACATGAACACGGGGCCTTCTACAGTACATGGATTCAGGAAATCTTGGCTTTTGTCTCAGTTGATGATTTGATATAATTAGTTCAACTGGAACTATTTATTTGGATATTTGCCTTTTTTAAGTGTGATTGCCTCTTTAAATACACTATGTACAGATGAGAAGGGGTTCTGGTGAATTATTGAGAATGTAAAGTGATGATTAATGCTGATTAGTTCATAGTAAGGTGGTATTCATAACTGTATGAAGGGCGCTATGAAAGATAAATGCTGCAGTTTAATCAGAAGTTGGTTTTTAAAAGCATGAGAAGAGAAAGGGTTTGTTTGGTACTTTTGGGAAATGTCACACTTGAGGTTATAAATGTTGATGACCAAAATGTTTATTCTCAAATAAATTGGAAAAAAGAATGAATGTAATATGTGTGATTTTGTGTAGATATCAGTTCATTTACCCTTCAATCATTCCAGCCAAGAATTTATTAGAAATAATGTGTTGAGTCCAATTAAATTAGTTTTTCATAATTTGTTTTTCAGTGGCATTAAAATACCATTGCTGCTATTTGTTACAGTAAACGTCACACCACAAGTCAAAAGGAAACTAGCCTCAAATATATATATTTATAAATATAAGAAACCAGGAACTGCCAGTAAAATCTTCAGTTTTCTTCTTATAATGCTATTTTAGGTTTTTGACTTTTGCTCCATGTTTTCCTCTTTTCAAACAGGAGATGGCAGTCTAGCAGTGATTATTATTATTTTTTCATATAACGAGGCTGATCTGCTGACGTGGACTTGTTAAAATCTTAAAAAATGAACAACATTGATTTGTGCAGGAGACTCAGCTCAACTTATAACTGTATTTGTTAAAATAAAATTAATCCAAACGAATTATTAACTTGTGAAAGCAGAACGTATTCCCCACATAGAAAAAAAGTTGGTTTTAAAATGCTAAACAATTATTTTTCTTTTTTTTTTCTACATGTCTTATTATAGGTCCATGGAGGCAGAGAAGCTTGGTTTATTTTTAAACAATATTAAAAAATTGCTTCAACATATAATAGAAAATCCCCGTGTAGAAATCAAAGAAATATGCCGTTAGTTTTTAAACAAAAACACAAGTTATCTGCTCAGAAAATGTGTTTAACAGCTGCACACCTTCCGAAGTAAACCATGGCATCTGTAACACAGCTATATATGGTATGGCCTTTGCTGCATTCATGTACTCCTTGTAAAAACACACTTCTAATTTTGAAATACAAATACTTGTAATAAGAAATGTAGAAGCTGTATTAATGTACCCCCAAAATAGTAAAACGTTAAAATTGATACATATTGATATAAATTGATATATTTTTTGTTATTCTGTTTACATTTTTAGGTTTAATGTGGCTGTTACGTGAGCATGAGGGCAAATGCTGTGTAAATGCAGGGCAAATTTACGAGCTGCGAGCATAGCATGTGAACGCATCACACCGCTGCAAGCGGCGACTTTAACGGCGTCTGAGAAACTTCAGCAGTCAGCACAGACACCGACGAGCAGAGAGGCTCAACAACAGGAGTCCGAGACTTTTCTGGGCTAGAATCGCTCGTTCTGGGACATAGAGACCGATTAGTGTAGTGTTTTTACTGCTCGCGAGTCTACCGACGGGATGACAGTTCAGCAGAAGCGTCTTACGTTCAGCAATCTTATTCACAACTGCGGCTTTATTTAAATAAAGCATTAAAACGAGTTATCGCTAGCAAAACACTGGTTTGTTTGTTTGCTTTAGTTAAACTGGGTTGTTTTTGGACGACTAGTACTTGGAAGTCTAATTGATTTCCAAACCAACATTGATTTTATAGATTAGCTTTTGCCGAGTTCAGGATTTATACAACAGAAGTAAACACTGGATTACCTGCACCAAGGTGAGTGAGCCGAAGTTGTACGAGTTAGCTTGTCTCCTGGTTAAGCTAGTAAAATGTCACATCCCGGTTTGTGATGCTGGTTACAAACTTAACACGTGGCCTATAGAGTTTAAACACAAGCTAGTCCGTTTAGTGGCCATGATGCTGTAAGTAATTATTGAACACACTCCCACACCATATGTCCGGTTAGGTGTGCTGGAAGGAAGTCGATTGTTTCCTGTTTGCAGAACATGAAGGGCCAGGTAAGGTTGGAGGAAATGAGATAACACAGCGGTGATTCCATTCTGATATGTTAAAGCTGACAAGAGGACAACTCCCCAAACTCTTAGTAAACACACAGTTCATGCATAGTGAAGCTTTTAATGATCCCACGTGGCCCGTGGTGCTTTCAGGAGCTGGATGGCCTCTGTAGTAGCTGTGAAAACTGAGAAGAGACCTGCAGCTGATTCTCAGGATGCGGATTCAAATGCTAAAAAGCCCAGGTAAGCCTAGCTGCACAATGCACATCATCACTCATTTAGCTACTTTATCTGAGGATCTGACCCAAATGGTTGCAAGTCCAGTCTTAAATAACATGACTGTTGATTTGTTTACAGAGCCGGATTAAATAAATGGACAACACTAGGCAGGCTGCATTTTTTGGGCCCCCCCTCCATCGATGTTATTTTATGAAATGAAATCTCAAACTTACCAAAGTTACTAATAAAAATTCATTCACATTTTACATAGAAGTCTTTGGTTACAAATTGGTTGTTTGTATGCCAACATAAGTCATTTGTTGTATATTAGATGGAAGTCCTATCCACAAATTCTATCATTGGACATTTGTACATTTTATTTTAATTTATTTTAAATTTTGTCCCTCTTATCTTGGCCCCATCCAGCCAATCAGGCCCTAGGCATGTGCCTACTTTGCCTTTGCATTAATCCGGCTCTGTTTGTTTATTAAGGAAACTTCTGCCAAGCCTGAAGACCAAGCGAGCCCCAGAGCTCGTCCTGGTGATTGGTACAGGGGTGAGCTCAGCTGTGGCTCCACAAGTCCCTGCTCTTCGGTCCTGGAAAGGGCTTATTCAGGCCTTACTGGATGCAGCTAATGACTTTGACCTGCTGGAGGAGGAGGAAAGTCGTCGTTTCCAGAAGCACATGGAGGAAGATAAGAATTTGGTGCATGTGGCTCATGACCTCATTCAGAAACTCTCCCCGGTAAGACTGTCTGACTTTGTGTCTTCCCTTTCTGGTTTCTAAATCTTTCTTCTGCACAAAGCAGGTTTTGGAGAAATGACCACTCCCTGGACTTATTTCATTTAAAACATTTAGCTTAGTATTAAAAAATGTTTGTATGATTTCATATAAGAAACATATAATTTCAACATTTATATTAGGAGTAGACCGTTATGTCTGTGAAGGTTCTCAGTCATCCAGGTCATTGTAGTCTAAGGAGCTTTGAAAGAAAAGCGTCGGGACTTCTTTTGAGTTACTTGAAGACGTTTCACCTCTCATCCGAGAGGCTTCTTCAGTTCTAAGGTCAAATGGCGGAGAGTCCCAGATTCAAACCCAGTGGGAGTTTCCCCCCGAAGAGGGAACAAAAGACCCCTGATGATCTTCTACATAATCACATGAGCCAAGGTGTGAGGGTGGCTGTGGGTCCTATTCAGTAGACTGTTATATTGGTCAACCGATATCATGCCGACATTTACCGGTCGATATGCCTCTTTAGTGAAGCCGATTTTAAGTCAGGCACATCGCCGGGCAGCCCAGTGTATGTTTACGTTCCTGAATGCTTAATAAATGCTCAAATGTTTTTCAACTAACATTTCTTATAATTTACTGGTTTTGAATGTTTAGTAATTGGTCAGTATACTGTTGTATAGTATTTGTTTGATTAACTTTAGACATCCGATTTTAACATGGAGCAGTGCACAAAATTAAGATTTAACAGCTGGTTAAATTAGGTGTTCAAAAACAGATTCAGTTATAGAAGTTTTGTGAATCAACTGATGTTATTTTAGTCTGAACACGGAGGTGGAAAAAACGTCTAGAAATCAACCCCGAAAATCGGCCCAAAATATTGGCAGCACAAATCGGCCATTGGCTGACCATGACCTTTAATAATCGGTATTGGCCATAGAAAAACCAATATCGACCGACCTCTAATTCTAATGTTTAGTTTAAAATGGTAATTGTTACTATTTTATCTGTTGCTTCCTGAACAGCCTCTATTCAGAGATGAAATTTATGACTGAGCTAATGGCGAGTGAGAACACAGCCAAGGCCAACATACATTAATACCATTTAAAAATGCTCCAATCTCTAAAATTTCATGATAGTTTATGGAAAAGTCATTTTAGAAACTTTTGTACCTTTTGATTTCCATCAATATTTATGGGATTTTAGGCAAGACAGCTTTATTTATAGAGCACATTTCAAAAACAGAGGCAATTTAATGTGCTTTACAATTATCAGGACATGATATGAAAACAACAAAAAAACACAAATTAAAATAAACACAGATAAAAGCTAAAGGAGAAGACTGAAGCCTGATTTATGCTTCTCCGTCTGCGTCAGTGCAGAGACACGCAACGCCATTATCCGTCCTTGCGTAGGGCTCCGGCAGGCACGCAAGTACGTACGGAGTCGAGCCCACTTTTTTAAACATCCGTCGAACGAGACGGATTACGCAAGCTTGTGATTGGTCAGGACGCCGCTGTTGTTTACAGCGCCGCCATTGCAAAGAGAGCCGAGTTTAACTAGCGGCAGACACGGAGAAGCTTGAAGAATACCTCGCGAAAAAAACTAAAAACATGAACGTTTAATCCTCCCGTGACTGGAGGAGTGAAAAGATGCGCAGCAAGAGTTTTATTTGTGGACGGAAATGACAGGAAACGTGGGTTTAGAGGTGAAAGAAAGAGACAAATATGTCCGTGTTAAAAGTCTCTTATATACACAAAAAACAATATAAACTCACTATCTTGGACCGATACATGACAGGATACCACAGAACAGCGCTACGCCCTCTGTGGTCCTGCCGGGCAATTGCTTTGCAACACTCTCCAGGAGACGGAGAAGTATGAGAGCGAAACGCTTCCGTCAATCCGTGCGTGTCTGTCCCTTGTGGAGCTGACGGAGAAGCATAAACCAGGCATTACAGTGGAGACGATGCAGAATAAGAAAGTTAATTTAAAGGCTGAGTACATTTGGGTTTTTAGTTGTGATTTAAACAACACTAGGGTGGGGGCAGATCTGAGGTCCTTGGCCAGCTGATTCAATATGTGAGCAGCATAGTAACTAAATGCATCTCCACCATGTTTGGTTCTGACCCGAGGTTCTACCAGCTGATTGTTTCCAAGGGATCTCAGAGCCCTATTGGGTGTACATACAGGAATGAGATCGGACATGTGTTTTGGTCCCATGCCATTGAGTGATTTATAAATTAGTAGGAACACTTTGAAGTCTATTCTGTAGTTTACTGGTAACCAGTGCAGGGATCTAAGAACAGGAGTGATGTGCTCTGTTCTCTTAGTTACAAGTTTAAATGTCAAAAACAGCAGTAAATTTTAGTGCTTTTGTTTCATCTTGAAAAAAGCAATAGCTTAATGTTAAGAGCTCTTTTGTGTTGCTTTAATATTACCCAAATGTTTATTGGCCCAACCCAATTTTCACACACAATGGTGTGTGGTGACATTTGTCCTTTGCATTTGACCCATCCCTGTGGGGAATGGTGAGCTGCAGACACGGATGCACTCAGGAAACATTTGGTGGTTTCACTCTCCAATCCAGCCCCTTTAAAGCTGAGCTGGTTGCTTTGCTTTAAAGCTGTTCCAACCTCCCAAATTTCATATTGGTTCATCCAGATGTTATTTTAAACATTTACAGCATCAGCAGTTTTCAGTCCCACGATTATTTTGAAAAGAATATCTGTAAACATCTGCAGAACCTTGGATGCTGCAGAAATACTAGACTTTTCTGTTGCTGATGTTTCCCCTCAGAAATAATCTGAAAATGCCATGCAATGTGAATTGGATGGCATTCTAAAGCTTTGTGCAGTAACATGAACTAAGTTGGAATTTCAGAGATTAGAGCCATTTTAAGATGACGGCAATGTATTTTGGTGCTCAAACTAGCCGTTAACTCATCAGTTATATAAAATGAAAGCTCTGTTTCTCCAGCATGAGGTTGTTCAGCAAGCTATGTACAACAGGTAAGGTGGTCTTTTGCTCTAACATTTCATTAAGGCCAAATAAGTCGTTTCTAATCCCACAAATCAAGTCAAAGTTGGTGTATTTTCTTCTGTATTCAGTGGGTTGGCTACATTTGTGAGATTTCTGTATTGAAATGTCTGATTAAATTCTCATTTTAGCTGTTAAGTCACATAAACTGTGTTAAACATGTGACAGAGAAAACTGTAAAAGTCGGACTAATGGATAAAACCAAAGATGGAGAAGTATTTATTATGTCTAAAAAACATCATTCTCTCAGGTGATAACGACAAAGCTTTAAATAAAGTAAATCCAACAAGTTCGTCTAAAGTGGCTGAAAATTCCTGCCATCCAACCACACACGCGTAACAAGATCCCACATACTGAAAGCCTTACAGGCATTCACATTAATTTTCAGACATAAAGGCTTCATAAATTCTCAAACTATTATTGCAACTTTTCAGTTTTCTTTTACGGTTCAGCTTTAAATCAGCCGGATCAATGATGTAGGATCTCTCAATGGAGTTTTTCATGTAACTGAGTTTTCTTCCCCACTGAGCCGGTCTGATCTGGAGCTGGGTCGGCAGATGGGAGTCTTAAAACCGTTTGCCTCCTGTGTTAGTCATGTCTCATCGCACCTTTGACATTGGTAAAACGCGCTTTGTTTCAGCCCTCAGCCTGTTGTAACAAAGGGAACAAACAGCGCTTTTATGGCTTTATCCAACGTGTTTATTTCAGCCCACATTCGTGCAGACACTAGCCCCACTTCCGTTGGCTACAGACACAGCAGGGTCTCACATAGCAGGTCTGGGGGGGGTAAAAAAAATCAACAAACATGGAATAATGTGAACCAGAGCCCCATTCCCAACTCCCCCCACCCACCCCATTCAACACATATTTCTCATTTAAACACATTTAAATCCCCACTTGAGCCAATAGCAAGATGCAAAGGAGGACATGAGCATACCATACTCCATTTAGCAAAAAATGTCAACACAAGACAGAGTTAACCTGAGTAAACACAAAATGCAGTTTTCAAATGATTATTTAATTTAAAAGGGTAAAATATTTTTAAAAAATTATCTAAACCAACCTGACTCCTAAACTTAATTATTGGCTGTTCGTAACTCCCTCTGGTGAAAACCTCAGACAGTCACAGACCACCAGTCTTCTGCCCCCATGCTTGACTGTTGGTATGATCTAGTTTAGTTTTCCACCAGATGTAACGGGACACACATCTTCCAAAAAGTTCCACTTTTGTCTCGTCTGTCTGCAGAAAAATTTCGTCAAGGTTTTTCCTTTTTTATGAAATGGCCCCCTTCAGGGGTTTGTTAGATAATGTATTTAATCTCATGCTGACCTGGATCACTTAACTTGCCTGGCTCCCCTCAGCTTTCTGTCAAATCTTGTGGATCAGTCTGTTGATTTTTATGAGGTTGGAATTGTGGGTTTCACATAACCAGATTAGGTTCAAACACCCAATGGCTTTCACATCTTTTCACATAGCATGGATATGGCATATGGCCATGTCTTACAGAGTTCCTTGTGCTGATCCAATAGTCCAATAGAAATTAACCATGATGTCATCAAGTGGGTGGGGCCCAGGATGGGGTATATAATGTTATTGTTGTAAACATTATTTTTGGGATGCTAATTCAAAGGCTCCAGGCCTGTGTTTTTCTCTAAAGTTTATTTATATAGCGTAGAAAGGAAAAATCACAAAATGCTTCACAAAGAACAACCAAAAAAATCAGTCATGAAATGAAATGTTTATGGTAATTGGCCTATGACTAACTACAGCTAAAAAAACTACAGCATCGCGTGGTACAGTCAGCATTTTTGCTTTTTATCTGATTGGTTATGCCTACCGACCACCACCAGCAGGCAAGGTGGGTTAAGTGTATTGCTCAAGGACACAACAGCCGCATTCATTGGCAGGAGCTGGGATTGAACCTACAATCCAATTACTGGACAGCCCGCTCTGCCTCCTGAGCTACTGCTGCCCCC